CTCAATTTCTTAACTAGTGAGTCTTGTATTCTTTTTGATTGAATTGCTTAGTTCAGAAGTAACTTATTAGCTTTTGTACATGTGTGACTGATCTCTTTCAATCTTGATTCTGTATTCATGACTGTTGCATCTGCAACTGCTACTGCTGTATCTGTAACTGCTGTTTCTGCTGTGTCTGCAACTGCTGTTTCTGCTGCATTTACAACTGCTCTCTCTCTCACCTTTTCTGAAGCATTCTCTGAGATGCACGGATGCAATTCATACAATAAGTAGAATGATGAATACTTGAAGACTGCATGCTGTCAAATCTGTATAGCTAGTAGCACCTGTCTGAGATATTCATTTCATAGTCTCATAGGCTTACTCACTAGATATTTCATCAGTATATTGCTCAAGATTTCATTCAAGTGTTTCATCTTCCTGTTCATTTGTGAATAATATAGTATTGTTCTATGATATCTTGTCTATAACTGATTCATGAAATGCCTTATCACTTCTTCTACAAGGTTCACACTGTTATCAGTTAGAATCTTGTGCAGTATTTCATAGTTGACATAGATCTCATTATGTAGAAACTTCATTATCACCTTCTCTATTATCTATGAAACTGCTTTCACAACTGGCCAGTCAGTAGCATAATCAATAGCAGTAATTATTCATTGATTTTCATTTGACATTTACAGCAATATGTCTATGAGGTTCACTTCTCATCATTTGAACAGTTGTATCATACACTTCACCTGATGTTATGCTTTCTCATGTTCTAACCCTTTCTTAGATTCTTTCGCGACCTGGCAATTCAGACACTTGTAAGCATACATCTGAATGTTCTCAGTCATACTTGATCAGTATACTCTTGATTCAAGTACACTCATGAGTTCAGAGCTTTCTAAGTGACTGAATTCCTTGTACATGTGAGTCATCAAGTCACATTGAAATGAAGATTCTAGATAGAGAGCTTCTATGTATTCTAGATTGCAGTAAAACACAATGTTGTTTTCCAATTTTCTCAGCTTGAAGTTCAGAAGCATCTCTTCTACTACTTTTATAAGACACTTATCATCTGACATCTTGCTATTCTCTAAGCAAGAGATCATGACATTCACTCATTCTGATTTCTTGCATTCTCTCAGCACATTTAACACAAACATTTCTTATGCCTGATTTGCAGAATCCTCACTCATGAAATTGAGTCTGTAACTGATTGTATCAGGCATCACAGCATTCAATCTCTTTTGATATTTGATATGAAGATTGTATGCTTAGAACTCCGAGATTCAATATACTAAGTGTTTAAAAGGTTTTATTATTAATTGTAGATAGACAAGGCTTTTGTGATCTGTGATTATTATTGTCATATGCCTGTTATTGATATATCTATCTCATAACATCAGCATGTGCTTGATCACTAGCAATTTCTTTTCATACACTGAGTAATTGAGCTCAGCGCTCAATAGTTTTCTATCATTATATATCATCAGATGCAGCTTGCTATTCTTACTCATCTGTAGAAGAGTGTCTCTGATAGCTCATTTGAATATGTTCATCTCAATGTAGAAAGGTTTATTCTGATCTGATTGAATAAGCACTGAGAATATTGTTACATGTTCTCTCAGTATGAGAAAAGCCTCTTCACACACAGTATTTCAGATGATTGAATAAGACTTCTTCTTTCACAGATTTGCATCTGTTTCTCTTAAGAGATCTGAGAGTGATGCAGATATTTGTGCAAAATTCTTGATGAATCTGCAGTAATTAGACTGGCCGGCGGGACCATGAATTTCACATTTGGTCTCATTTGGTCTGGTTCCATACATTTCTTGGCGTGAGTCCCACCAGGACCAAGCCTCAAAAAAATCTGAAAATGGACCATTTCTGAGAGAAATGGCGTGAAAAATGACCAGATTTAATTCAAGAACAGTGAAATGAGAGTAATTTTTCAGGATAAACTGTGAAAGATAATCATTCTTTCAAAATCAGAATGAGACTGAGACTGAAGATTAAAATCAGTCTCATTCAGTTCATTCAGTGATTGCTTATATAATCAGAATTTGGTAATAATTATTGATAATGCTTATGAAACAACTAAATACATTCTTGTGTAAGTTTATTCTTCACTTTCTCATGAAAACTACACTTCTCTGATATACTGTGATCAGAGGTATTAAACTGTCTGATAATTCCATGTTTTATAATCATGAGTTTCTTGATTATTTCTTCTTGTAATTGTTCTCAGTGATAGTGATAAATATCTCAACTTGAGTTGAACTTTCACTTCATTCTCATCCCTGTCAATGAAATTGTCAGAATATCATGTGTCATCAGTGCAACAGTTGAATATGTACTCTCAACAATTTTTCATAACTCTAGAATTGATTTGATGTGTAAATTTGTCAGATTATCTTGAAGATAGTGATCAAATTCAGTTTTATAAGCATGTAGTTTTGCCTGATTTTCAGTTGCAATCAATGTATGTAAGTTCTATTTCAAAGTTAGTATTATAGTTCTATGTGATATGAAGTGTTATCAAAGATTGTTACTTACTAGGGAATTGTATTCCACTGTCTTCACATCTCAAACATCTGCTTGTTCAAATCTCTGATAGTTGACATTGTAGTAGTCTCAGGCTAATTTAACATATGAGTCTCATTCCTTCTCTGTTCAATCTTGAGAAGTGTAGATGTTAACTTGATAAGAGAGATCTAGTAGAGCTGCTACAGCATAGTACTCTGTAAAAGATTGTTCTATTTTGCTGTAGTAATATATCAGTTTATTTCTTACAGTAACAATAGCCTGTGCTATAGCATTATTCCAGACTGAATTTCTTTTTGAGTGATTCAACTGCTTCTCAAGATGAGTAAATAAACTGTTATACACTCACCAGACTGACTGCAGCATTGATGTATAAGTGATTGAGACTGTCTTTGTTATCTTATAAAACTGAAACAGTAAATCAATCACATATTTCAACTGAGTTCACTTCATATCTGAAAGTTTCAATATCTGAATCTTTTCTCAATCAGAGTGTTGCACTCAATGATTAATCATCTGATATAATTGAAGAGTCTGAACAGTCATCTTATATATTGAACTTCACTGTGTTCTAACATTCTGTATCATATTCAGTGATGTGACTGATTTGTTTATTTATTAAATATCATGAAATTATTGTTGTTGTTTAGAAGAGATACAAATCATATTAGCAATGTTTCAAATCTATAATATTTAAATTATTAGTCAATCTATTCAAAATTAACAGTAGTATTATTAAAAAGCATTATTAAAAAGCAATATTAAAAAGTGTTGTTAAAAAACATTATCTTTTACAAAGTGAATGTAAAAGTTACTTAAGTAATCACTTTCATCTCATTCTCATCTCAAGAATCAGTCATCTCATTATTCTTTGTCTTGATGTTAAGATTCTTTATCAGTGTTTACATCACAAGTTGAACCACATGAGCAATGCAGAAAATATGATCTTATTTATCATTTCAGAAATACAAAGTCAATTTTTGCTTCAAGCTCTTCATCATAGTGTAGTTATTTACAGCATTATCAGTTATAATTGCAAGAAGACTGAGACTAATATCTCAATAGTCATTTTTAATCACAGTCATTAATATCTCTGTTATATAATCCTCAGTATAACTACTGATCAATGATTCAAATTCAATTAATGTCTCTTGATAAGTTCAGTTCTCATCAATGTAATTACATATAACTCTTATAAATGCAAGATTGTTTGTACTAGTTCATGCATTCACTGTGAGAGACACTCTTTGATGATTCTTCAACTCTGATTCTAGATATTGCATATTAACTTTGTAGTGTGTCTCAAGGTTGAACTGAAGACAGAATTGATGTGAAATATGAAGATTTGAATTAAGTATTTGAAGAAGTGTTCAGAATTCAGAGTTTTCAATTGATTGAAGAGAAAGATTCAGAGATATATACATACAAAGTAATTGTTCATGAAAGTTATCAGATAAGAGTTGTGAAATCAGAGTACTGATACAGAGTCATTTTTACATGATTTTCTTCAAATTAGAAAGTTAGTATTATCAAAAATCATTATCTAGTAGAGCAACTTACCAGCTCAGTAGTAATTTTCTGATTATTTTTCTTTTATTGTCTGCATTCTGATGACTTCAGATGTCAGAAAATTTCTTCAGAGCTATAATTAGTTTATGATGAATATTTCTGAATAAAGTTACAGTAATTACAGCAAAGAGATAACTCTTCAGTAATCTGTAATACAATCTATTAATAATTATTTCATAGTTTATCTTGATATTTGTGTTGAGTTTTTCATAAATTTTGTGACCTGAAATCAGATGTGAAGAATGAAGTGATTATTCACTATAATTGAAAGAGAGTATTCTGTGTTGAATTATAAATAACATAGACTTTGTAATTCACAGTGATTTCTTGAAGAGTTTATGAATCTTCAATAGAAGTAAAAGAAGTGAAAGAAGTGAATTCAGAAGATATGATAATAATTTAAGAAAGATAATAATTTATTTTCAATAACTGATCACTGATGTGTGTAAGAAGAATTAATATAAGAGAAAATAATCTTATTTCTTAGCTTAGTTATAATTTTAGTACTAACTCAGATTGAATATTATTAATGTATAAAAGTAAATAAATAATCTTGATTAATCTCTGTCATATTTCTTGAAATATATTAATATTATGAAAGAGAGTGTTATCAAATTATATTATTAGATAATATTATTAAAAATATATTAATATTATGAATATCAATATTGAAAAAATGTTGATACTTATACATTATAGTGATTTGTGAATCATGATAGTTAAATATATATATATATATATATTATTCCTGACTTGATTACAACTTGTACAATAATTTTTAAAAACTCAAAATCAATTTTAATTATTAATAATTAAAAACTTAAACTTATAACTAACTAATATAAAAAGAAAAAAATCTACTTCTTCTCTTTTTCATTCTTCTTATTATTCTTCATAATTCACTTCTCATTCTTCTTCTTCTTCTTCTTCTTCTTCTTCTTCTCCTTCTCATCTGAGATGATAATCATCTCAAAATCTCTCTTCACTGCCTTCTCAGAAGAGGGTTTCTGCTGCTTCTTCTCAGCCAGGTCAACCTGCATCTTAAAATCCCATATTTTCTGGTCTGCTGTCTCAGGTTCCATCTCAGTAGCAAGCAGATTGACACGCTCAGAGAGCAGGGCGGTCTTCTCAATATTCTGAATCATGAAGCGCATTCAAGACCTGAACAAGGCCTCAATTCCCTTCTTCTCTGTCAGCTCCTGCTAATCAATTAGAGAATAGAAGTGTTATTAAAAATCATTATCTCTCAATAAAAACTTATCAGTTTTGACTTCTTTATCTCTCACTTTAATACCTTCTCAATCTTCTTCTGCTGCTGCTTATTTACAGTAACACTCTTCTTCTCTCTCTCTCTCTTCATCTTAGTCTCAAATCATTCTCAGAACTTCTTCTGATTCCACTGCTGCTGCATGAGGCTTTTTACTATCTTCTTTTTCAATCTCTCACAGGCAGTGTCATCTGTATTATTTCTATACTTAGTTCAGTCTAAATCTATCAGAAGTGTTACTTAAAATCATTATCATTCTACTCTCTTACAGAGCCTCTTCAAGGCATTATAACATGTCTTACAATCTGTCTCTCTGTGCTTAAACACCTTCTTCTTCTCTTTCTTCAATCTGTGACAGTGCTCACACGCCTTGATGATCTGCAGAACCGCAGAATATTTGAAGAGAGATAACATGATTGATTTTAATAAGTGTTGAAGAGAGAGTGAAGACAGGCAATAATATAATAGTGATGATAATAGTAATGATGATGATAGTGATGATGATGATGATAATGATAATAATAATGATAATAATGATGATGATAAAAGAGAGAGTGCATTGAAATATATTATTAACTTATTAAACATAAAGAGACAAAGAAACTATTAACAGCTTTCAGAGATGTATAGAAACAGCTACAGTGTTGTATAGTAATATTATCTTCATTCAATGCATGCACTATTAGTATTCTTTGTATGCATTTATCATATAATCTATATCAGAAATACATGCAGAAAACAGATCTTTGTTGCTAGAGAGAATGATTACAGTGATTCTCTGCTTTTATATTATAAAGATAAGTTATTCTCATTTCTTTCTTCTCTCTTTTCTCTTCTTCTTCAATTCATCACTAAGTTCAAGCTGATATGAAAACTATTAAAACACTCATAGAAATCCTCAAATTGAAGAGTATAAACTAATCAAATTTTAAATACAGATGAACTAAATTAATTCAATAATACTAATTATTCATTCTTCTCTTAATAAAATAACAGTCATGTCTTTCTTCCTCCTCCTCAAATAAAACATAGCTTGTGAAAAGTGAGTACCACGCCAGGCCATAATGATCAACACAGTCTCAGCATGCAGAGCTGTATATACACAGTGTGTGCTGAACTGAGAGACTGTATGAGTTACAAACTGACAGCAGCATCTCAGAGAGAGCTGTGCAGTGTGAGAAAGCTGCAATTCTCAGTCATATATGCAGAGAGTGAATCACTGCAGTAAGTGTATGTACATTGCATGAAAGTAACACTTTTTGATAACACTCAGTCTCTGATATCATGAAAATAGAGTCTCTCTGTGAGATCTGTTTTTATCAGAAGTTGAAGAATCTTATATTTTCCAAGGCCATCTTCACATGCCTTGTCCATGAAATCAATGAGAGAAATCATTGATTTCAGTGTTCTGCTCTTGATGTTATTCAAGTGATAGCAGAGTTCATCCTGATCACACTTTTTAAGTGTATATTTTCTAATTATTCACATTTATACAGATATATACTGATTATTTATTAGATAATATTAAGACAATAACTCATCACAGCTGTGTTACTCTCACTGTGAGAAATACATGATTAGTGATGAACATTGTAAAGACTCTGAGAAGTGAGTATTTTGAGAGTGCTGCAGCTCTGTGACCTTGATTTTTTTTTTTTTATTTTTTGTTTTTTTCTTTTTCTTTTATTTTTTTTTTTTTTAATGTGATTTTTTCTTGTATTTGTTTTGTTTTTTGTTTTTTGTTTTTTTTTATATTTTATGTTTTTTTCATAATTAAAATTATATGAATTATAATCTATGTTCAGAAAAGTAACAATATTTGATAACACTCTCTATTGAATTTTCAACAAATGAGCACTATGTTATGATATTATGTAAGTGAGAAGTGATTTCATAGTCTTATTTAATGTCATTCTCAATAATGAGATCAGAATGAAAATGTGACTAAGAATTCAAACATATTCTTTATTCAGAACTAGATTTTTATTTAAAAAGTGAATCTGAGACCTTTAATATTTGAAATAATGTGATTTGAGATCAATGTGATGAACACAAATCATGACCAGGAGTAATGCTTTTAGGCAACGTGACAACTGTAAAGTTTGGTCCTGGTCTCAGACACGGTCACACGGTCAGTCTAGCAGTAATATAAGACTAACTCAAGAAACTGTTGTACATGATGTACATTTCTTAACCATGATCAATTTACCATGATATTCAATTTCTCTGAAATGAGATGTATACAGTCATCACTTACTACATGTTCTATGAACTTCAACTCTTCTGTTTCAAACACACACTTGATTGATTTGACATAGAGCTTATACTCTGTCAGAGTTATAAGCACTTTATCAAGATGCTTCAGATATTCATTGTATGAGTTTGAAAAGACTAGAATATCATTAAGATATACAAGATATGAGGTTTCATTCTATTTATGAAGAATTGTATTCATTATCATTTGAAAGATGATAAGTGCATTTATCAGACTGAATGACATTGTCAGAAATTCAAACTTTTCTCATTATATATTAAATGCAGTTTGTGAGACTGACAGTTTATTTACATGAATCTGCCAGTATTCTGAGAGAAGATTGATCTTTGATAGATATCAGATGTTTCTAACTGTATTCAACTGTTATTGAATCTGTGACAGTGAATATTCATTCTTGATTATAAGCTTGTTAAGTGCTCAATAATTGATACACATTCATCACTTCTCATCTGCCTTTTTCATAAATAGAACTGAAAAGCCTCACACACTTGATAAGAGTTGTATGAGACCATGTTCTAGAAGATCTGTGATCTGACACTTCTGTTCTTTGAGATGTGTTTGTGACAGAGAGTATGCATTCTGATTGACTGGTTTTGTGTCCCCTGTGTCAATCTCATGTATGAATCCTTGTTCCAGCTAGACTGACCGTGTGACCGTGTCTGGGACCAGGACCAGAATTTTTGATAGTTCCATTGTCAATTCAACAGATCCCATTACACGGTTCTAACATTAGATAGTAGTTCCATACTGTCCCAGTGGGACTTACTGTCTACTCTTGTCACATTTTCCAAATGGGACCATGATTTCCACTTCTCAATTTAAATTATTTTTATTGCTTGAAATGGCTTTAAATCTCATTTAAGCGTTACCAAAAAGCGTTACTTTTTAAAAAATTAAAAATAGTCTAAAAAAAACCTTAAAATGTCTAAAAATAGTAACTTTATGCCAAGAATGAGACTAAATGGGACCAAATGAGATCACTTTCTCATTTTTTTCAAGTCATGGTTCCATTTTGAGATCTGATATATAGTCACTTTGCATATTTATTTAATGATTAGTCCCAGCGGGATTCACGCCAAGAAATGTATGGGACCAGACCAAATGGGACCAAACGTGAAATTCATGATCCCGGCGGCCAGTCTAGTTCCAGCAGCAATTCCAGTGAAAGATCTGTTTAGAAGATCTTCTCATGCTTCTTCAGAAGCTTCTTCATATGCTTGTTCTTTCATATATCTTTTATCTTGGTTTTCTTCACTTCTGAGTCCTGTATAATATACAGAATGCTTTCAGATGAGGTCTTGTAAATCATTCTCTTTGCTTATTAATGTGTAAGCAGATTTAACTCTTCTATATCAGAGATGTGAAATGTCCTTCTCATATCAGTTAATAGAATTATATGAATCATTTTCTTTCTATTGATCAACTGCATATGACATGTACACTATTGAATCTGTGAATTGAATCTTTGAAATCAATTGAGTTTAAGAATAAGATTGTATTTCATGTTCTGCAGCTCTCACACTCAAATATAGCAAGATTATTCTCTGAAGTGCAAGAGAACTCTTACTCTTGCAGATGATATCAAATATCAGTTATTAGATAATCTTATACATCAGAGATTCTTCACTCAGTAAATCTCTTTCAACCTTCAAATTATATAATCATCAATATATTGTGTAGAAGCTTCTGTGTCTGCTAACACTTTTACAGTCATCTCTTGATTTTTACTCAAGTGTCTTCTATACATTAACATTTCAGGTCTCAAGGCATTGAGATGAGTATTCACTTCATCATTCTTGTCTGTATCTCATTTAGAAGCCTGCTTCTTCTTTGCATTCACAGAATTCAGAGAATCATCTAACATGAGTATCTCTTTCACTTTGAAGACTTTCTATAGAATATCAGTGAGTGTCTCTGAGCTCACTGATTCTGCTAGTTTTTTAACTCTCTTGCTTCTCTTAATTGCACACACTGAGTGCAATCTTTTATATCATGATTTTGACATTTACAGTTGAAGCAAGCTTAATACTCACAATATCAAGATTTTCACTCAGAGGATTTCTTTTTCACAGAATTCAGTGCTTTAGCAATGACATTCAGATCTAAATTCATTGTATTCAGATGTATGACTTATGTTATAGAAGTCTGATTATCTGTTCTCTGCTGAAGTATACTTGATTGCAGTATTTTCTGTTACAATTGACTTGTTTATTTCTGTATAATGAGAATATTATATGCTTTCTTCACTGTGTCTGACTGTGAGATTAAGCATTTTCATTCCACTCTCAACTCAGATATAAGATCATGAATGAAGATCTGTAAATAGAAAGATATTGAAAGCTCTTCATTCAATGTAAGATAGTGTAAACTGAAGTATGTAAAGTATGATATAAGATTACTCACTTATCTACACTCAGTGAAGTGTTTGTAACACTTATCTTATATATTCACTTTCTCAAAGTTGTACAAGATTCATTTGAAAAACTTATTTCATATTTATGAGAATAAATATCACTTCAGATCTGTGAGATTTATCTTTTCATCAGTCATTTATAATGACTTTGCTTTTCTGTGTAGAAATGCAGCAGATCTTAAGACTTGTT